AGGGGAGGGGAGGCTCATTTTCAGAGTCCTCCCACCTACCTCATATTGGCAGCCATGGTAATTACGAGTGTAATTACTTCAAGACACACCTCATTAAAAAATAAAAAAGAGGTTTCGGCTTTGCTGGCCATGATTTGCTAGTGCATCAAGCATTGCCATTTATTATTGCGTATCATACCTGGTCCTTACTCCATTTTTTGGTGATTTAGTTTAATTAACAAGGAAATCACATTAAATGCACACAGATTTTAGGCACTACTAAATAGGGGTTGGGTAAAACAGAGACAAGATAGTAGACAAAGATAATTTTTCTATGGAAACAAATACATGTTTTTAAAGCATCTCTAAAAAGAGCCACTGCAGTAACCGATGACCAAATTAGCACTTATGATCTCGCTTCTTTTTTCAGTCTTTTGTTTTTATTAGATTTGCCCAGACAATTAATCACTGGGCCTCTAAAAGTCAGAGGATTGACAGGATTCCATTTACACTCATATAAGCACACAGAACTAACAGAAGTGATAGGCTTATACAGTAAAATAAGAATGTGATAAATGTAACAGTTCTGAAATAAATAAGACAAAATTACACATCAAAACACTGATGAACCTAATACACACTTGTGAAAGTGAAAAGATATCCAAACTATTCAGGTAATAGATAATATAGGAGAGGAATATGTGGGAAGATTATGCATTGCTCAAATAAGCCAAATCCCATAGCCATCCTATTATGGTCTAACATCCAGAAATGATAATGCAGAGCCTTGGTTCCTTAGGTGGACATAAACTGAAAGGCTATGAGATCTGCTTAATCTCTAATATTTATAGCTTTCTACAGCCTAGTTTTTTACCTTCAAATTCCTCTTCATTATCAGGCAGTATTTTTTTTTCCCTGTGTTTTATTTCCCTCCTGGAGATAAAGAGAGGATCACCAGAGTCTAATATTCTCTCCTTGGGATGTTTTCCTTCCTCTGCTCTCCTCTTCTTTTTCTTTTTTCCCATGTGCTCTTTCATAATATTTTTCTTTGTTTTCTCTCCTGCTTCATCTCTCAGAGATGAGTGAGGATGGGACTTCTTGGCCTCTTTGTCCAGACTAGAAAATCAGAGAAAGAAGTCCATTAAATTAAAAGTTCACATACCATATACTATATCATATCTTTTTATAGTACATTGATTTCACCTTCTCCCACATCTCACAGTGCTGAAGAAAGAAGGGTTTTTCATCTTCCTGACCACTTTTCAGGTTTTACAGTTCCATTTCCCTTTTAGTTACAGAACAAGTTAAGGATCGTCTACAACACAGAATGGATTGTTTCTCTCATTTCTGTAGACAGGATGTATCATCTTGCTTACTTACTGCATGTAACCTTTTCTTTTTCTGTTTTTAGGTCACATGTTAAGGAACAACAATAAAATGATTTTTCCCATGACAAATATGTGGCTTTACAGAGAACTCAAAACAAAACAAAAACTTGCTGAAAATGTTACAGAGGAACTTACTGAACAAGTCAGTGCTTTGCTGGAGCCTGTCTATTCATATCTTACAAAACTATTTACTGCACAGTCATAGCTCCAAAAAGTAAGAAATCAAAAATGATGTTAACTATAAAAGCTCTAACTCACTGGGCTTCAGTTCTTAGAGAGTAGGCTACAAATCAACCAGAACTAGAGATGATACATAATACGGAAAAAGAGGATGGGGAGAAAATGTTAAAAGAGATAATAAAGTTGTGAGTATGCAGCAAAGCTGCTGTGATTCTGGCAGCAGAAGGGGAGCACTGTGGCTCAGTACTGATCACTGAAGTCTTTCAGTGCACCTGACCTTACCTGGGGTAAGGTATATGCTGCCTATGTGCTAAAGGTTGCATCATAAACTCTTTATGTATTTTATCCAACACCAAAGAGGCTTATGAATCCCAGCTGCTCCAATATGCCTACTCCAGGGTTGTAAGTGGGCATCTGAGTTAAATGAGTGTCCGTTATAGCTGCTGTTCCCATGTATGTGCTGCCTTACACATCTCGCTGCATTGTGTGCTCCAGATCTCTGTATCCATGGAGCTGAGGCATTTAAATTCCACTTACACAGCTGCCAGGTGTTCGGGTGCTACTGTCCTGAGTGTCCCAATATCCCTTCGAGCATCCGGGCCTTGGCTTCTTTAAAACATGAGTGATCAGATGTACATAGCATCACTTGCAACAATATGTCTTTAATAGGGATAATTTGAGGACAAACTATCTGAACAGTGCTATTCTCACAGACATTTTACAATGCAAATACTATACTAAAATGGTACATAAATTGTCATTTCAAATGTTCTGCTTTGTTTTTAAAAGCTTCAGCTCTGGAGAGAAAAGAAACAGAAATGATATAGTGACAACTTTAGATCTTAAAACAGCAAAGACACTGGTACCCTCAATAATTATTCTTACAAAATACATATTTCAGGGTACACTAAGAACTGTTTCACTTAGTTGAGCTTACAGGGAATAGAATGAATGCCTTAACTAAACTTCTATTATTTTGTGCTGCAGGCAAAATATATATTTTTTAATATTTTATTTATATTTCATTAATTTTACTCATCTGCTATACCAACTATCAGTGTTTATATGAGCAAACTAATGTTTACTAGCTGGATACCCTATACAGAAATTCCAATTAGTAAGACCTGAATATGTAGTTTCACATGCTGTTTTACCCAGAGAGCTATCAGATTTGATATCCCTTCATTTGAAATTTAGATCTAATGAGAACTATTATTTTTCGTTTGCAGAAATTTAGTGCATTTACCTCAGTCAGTTCTCTCCTCTGTTTGCCAGGGACTAACTCAATCTTCTCATCATTGGTACATAACAAGGGCAAGTCAGCTTGCCAATAAAGTCTATGTTTGGAAAATGAATATCAAATTCGATATTACAGCACTCAATTACGAAACAAAGCACACAGAAGGAAACTCATTCTTATTCCATATGTATTTAGTCATATCTTTTATTAATAAGGTATTTTTATTTAGAATATAATCCAGCTCTCAGTGTAAAACAGAATCTACTGATATTCCTAGATGACACCTCTCTATTTTCAACGGGCTGTAAGTATTGAGTGGGAAAGAGATCGTGGTTTTAAGGTTTACTTCTGGGTGAAAACAGGCTTGTTTAGCATCATGTAGATGATCTGACCTGGAAAAAAAGGGCATTAATATATTTCCATATGAGAAATTATACTGGTCAGTATAATTTTGGATTATTTGCAAAGGGACATAATTTTTTACACTGATAACCATATTAGGGAATTTCAATAAAAGTTGAATTTTAAAATTGCCTTTAAAGGTGGGATTCGTCCTGTTCATGTAGCCTCTTGAGAATAAATCTCCCTTGACAGGGATTATACAACTCTTTGGCAGCAGATAAAGAGGGAACAGACATAGAGCAGATAAAGAGGGAATCATTCAGTCTAGAATCCCTATGGCGTGCCAAGGCAGGTGGAATATTCAAAATAAAATGTAATGAAACTATGCAGCTCCTTCTGGCAGCTTGTGGATATTCAAAGTTCATAGGGGTTCAAAAAGGTAACTGTACAAATCTGCAGATGACTCCCATTCTGCTTCTGAAAATCCTTAACTCTTAAATGGCTGCAGGCCGGGATTATGTTCTGAGAAATAACCCTAGATGATTGTTCTGATCTTATACTGCTTCCTAAAATCTGATGTTGGTAGCTACTAGAGACAGATGGTACTCTGGAAGTTACTTCAAACAAACATCATTTCAAATGCGTAAAACTAGAACTTTATTAAAAAAAAAAAAAAGAGATAGTAATTCACAATCACTTGGAACCACTGCATGCTCAATGCACTTTTCACATCAGAAAAAAATCAGCTCTATTCTATAGAAGTTTTGCAGAACTTAAGTAGGGACTTATATTCAAGTCAGGTTACATGCACTCCCTACCATTCCCCAGATTTAAGCCTAATACAAGACCCAGCAACCACAATCTTATGCATAGCTTTATATAACAGCAAATATATTGAATGAAAAGCGAGTTCTGACAAACATCCCACCTTGCAGGAAGGCTCTAACAACTTCCTACAGGTAAGTTTCAAGCCAACCCATCCCACCAATGTTTCCAAAATGGAAGTTGGGTAACTAACTGCCAGGTAGTAGAATGGTGAAACAGACAAGCAATGCTCTTGTCCATATGTTCTGTGGGTCAAGCTGCTTGGTCACATGGTTAGACTAAACCATATTCCATGAACCATATTCACAAAGACAGCAGCTAGAGTAATCTGATGGCACAGTACGTAGGGTACTCTGATGGTACCGTTGAACTCAAAGTGGAACATTTAGGATTCACATAAAATAAGTTTTATATTGTGAGGTTCAAGCATACTCACATCATATAATCCGCCATCTGCACCATTCTTATGTATCGGCAGGAAAAGGCATATTTCGTTTGGCTGATTTTAATAAGCTCACTTCTTACACAGTGTTCCTGCAATAATAGAATCAACACTCATCCAAATTAAATCTAAATCTTGGAAACAGTAAAGAAACACACATAAAGAAAAAAACAACCATTTTAGCACAGGTATAATCAGCATCTGAATGATAAAGACAAAACGTTTCAAGAACAAAGCACATTTTTTAATAATGCACTATGAAAAAAATAAAGTAAAATTACCATAGTGGCCTAGAGACAAACAAAATGAATAAATATTGTGCTGCATGTGATAAAATCCCCCTAAGTTTCTCATGTTAGCTTCATGAAGCTTGTGAAAGGTACCAAATAGATTACTGAGGAAAGAACACTTGAATCAAGAACTTCTCAACTTGTGTCTGTTAGAGGGCTTTTTGTTCAACCTTGGAAGCTGGCTTAGCTTGGTTGGCTGGAGATGGGGAATGAGACAACACCCTCTTCAAGCCTGGCCAATTATACCTGCATCCTTAAAACGAGAATCCTGGTACTACCACTGCCCAATTGGTTTCTTCTTACAAGTTTACTTACTTTCCTGTTGTTGAACAGCAGAACTGTGTAGAGTTTATTATCTGTTTCCACTCTCTTTGGTGTTGAAATGACAATGGCAGGAACATAATAATCATTTCCAGTGTGTGTCCAAGTCCTGGCAAACACGTAGTCTCCAATCTGCACACCAAGAAAGTATTGGTTTGTGAGAACCTGGTAGACCGTGAGTTTACAAGACATAGCTACAAAATATTGAGATTTTTATACAGATCATTGTTTTAACGTGTTCCAGTCCTTTAATACAGAGCTTTAAAGGCAAAGATAAAGGACTTGTTTCTCTCAGGTACTGGTCGCTCTTAATTTCCACTGCATCAGGAAGAGATCACAAAGCAAAAAATATCTGACAGAGCCCTACCAGGGCTCTGCTGGAGAGTCAGGAGAGTCGGACAGACTCAAGACAAGGAAACTCTTTTAACTCTTTTAGCTCCTTGAACTTTTCATTTATAGCAAGCTTTCAAAGCAGCCTTGGAAATTTTACAGCATGGCATAGGTAACTGACATATACAGAAACATTTTTAAATCAACACAGAAGTTGCAATTTCTATAAAATTCTGCAGATCTTTTCCCTAATGGAATATTTTCCTTACAGAAACCAAGAGCCACCTGTTCAAGATTTGATTTCAAGGGAGAAAAAAGACACGTCTGTAGCAAAATAGCTATGAAACTGCTTTTTATACTCATCATCTCTTTCTTGAGTAAAATAAGAATCAACTGAAAAAAAAAGTTGTGATGATCAACTTGAAAAAACAGAAATGGAATAAAAAGAGTTTTTTCCACTACAGTTAGTATGGGCTAGTAAAGGGTTATTTGCCAGATTTAAATTATGCTATGTTAATTTAATTCTTAGAACATGCTGTACTTAAATGGCTCTCTCTGGTTCTTAAACTACCTGCCAGGAACCTGTTTTGCTGGAAAGAGCATGCATCTCCACAAAGGGCAAATAGGCATGTTTTATAAAGAAAATAATATACCTCAGAGGGCTGCGCTGCCATCCAGAGGGACCTGGACAGACTGGACAACTGGGCGGTGAAAAACCTCAACAAGGTTTGGAATTCAACAAGGCCAAGTACAAGGTCCTGCACCTGGGGGGGAATAACCCCAGACACCAGTACAGGCTGGGGACTGACCTTCTGGAGGGCAGCTCTGCAGAGAAAGACCTGGGTGTCATGGTGGATGACAAGTTGACCATGAGGCAGCAGTGTGCCCTCGTGGCCAAGAAGGCCAATGGGATCCTGGGGTGCATTAAGAAACAAGGATGATCAGGGGCCTGGAACATCTGCCCTATGAGGAGAGGCTGAGGGAGCTGGGCCTGTTCAGCCTGGAGAAGAGAAGGCGGAGAGGGGACCTGATCAGTGTCTATAAGTACCTCAAGTGAGGCAGTGAGGAGGATGGTGCTGGTCTCTTTTCAGTGGTGGCCACTGACAGAACTAGAGGTAATGGCCACAAACTAAAGCACCAAAAGTTCCACATGAACTTAAGGAGAAATTTCTTAACAGTGAGGGTGACAGAGCACTGGAACAGGCTGCCCAGAGAGGTTGTGGAGTCTCCTTCTCTGGAGATCTTCAAAACCCGCCTGGATGCCACCCTGTGCCACGTGCTCTGTGTGTCCCTGCTGGAGCAGGGGAGTTGGACTAGATGATCTCTAGAGGTCCCTTCCAATCTCAACTATTCTGTGATTCTGTGCAATTCTGTGATTCGTTTACCTGCAGACAGGGGCATGGCATAGCACCCCCTACAGATATCATGAACTTCACAGGAACAGTCCAGGCCTCCCCATGGACGAAGTCAACAAGTGCATGGGTAGAACTGATATTCTTTATCACAGTTCCTAAAAAAAGAACATAATAAAATATTAAAATGGTTTTGTTTTTACTCCTTGTGGAAAACTTCAAAAAATCATATAAACTGTCACATGTCACTGAGGGCAGACAGACACACTGTGTCAGTACTAAATATTCCCCATTTCCATCTGTATTTGGCTTTCATTTAGCTAGCATATGTGCTAAGGAAATAAGGGAAATTGTGCCTGAATGCAGCCCTAGTAACCATCCTTAATAACACAGCTGTTATAGAACCAAAAAGGGCAATTTTCTTGCTCAGGAATGAACTTCACAAACCTGCCAGCCAGCTGATTGCTGGTGAGATGAAGCTATTACTAGAGGTAAAAATACGGAGGGGAAAAAAAAAAAAAAGTGAAGGTAGCATAAAAATAATGGACTTTCCCTCTACACACACCCACACACACATACATAAGACATCTGCAGTTACATTTTTTATACGGACACACAGAGCAATCTCAAACATGGACAATCCAAAAAAAAAAAAAAAGAGAAGAAAACTGAATTGGCCAAAATACTTTATTTTTCCTGTAGCAAAGTCTCTGCATTAGTTTTATTTTTCTAATGAAACAATACACAATTTTACATGACAATCAGTCTGTCTTAAAACTCAACAAAATGGCAAAGCCATGTGATTAATTATGTCTGCAATGCCAAAACCTTGGCCTTTTCCAAACACTGAAAAGGAAAAACCCAGCAAGCACCAAAGGAGAGACAGATACTCTCAGCTACCTCTAGTGTGTGCCAGGTACTGAAAAGCATTTTTCTCCCACTCTTCTTTTATAATCCCATCTTTTAGCAGATCTGCATAGTTTTTGGACCTCACACAATGTGATTTTTTATAAATGTATATAAATGCATGTACGAAATACATATATTCATTTTTATTAACATGGAAGCACAATAATAAATCTAATGAAAATCAAACTAGCTAAATATGAGCAAAAGTAAAGTTTTATTGGAACTAGGAAACTAAAAATACTTAAAATGGAAAAAAATATATTACCTGGATAATAAAATCCGGTGATGTCTGATCTTGCAATCACCTTTTGGCTTCTGAGAGTCAAAAATACTTTACCTTTTTGTCTTTTTTTAGACTGCGATTTTACACCTTCTTCTTCAAGTCTCTGTAATTTGATATAAATTTTTTTTTTACAACTACCCAGTCACGCTGTATTTATACTCTGGAATTAACTAAAATTAATGAAATATGATGTTATAAATTCTGTTAATAATTCACAGTGCATTATTTTAAACAATCAGAATAGTTATCATAGAGCTAGGTTACAGTAAGTACTCATGGATAAGATCATCTAACAGTTTTCACCAAAAACCTGTTTAAATGGTTATAATGATGTGGAAATTTACCTTAATGAATCATGAATCTGGCTCACATTTTTTTCTAGGAAAAAGTTTACAAATTCAGATTTCCAAGAATGAGATAAAGAAAAATCTAATTATTATACAAAATAAGTGAATATTGAATACACTTCTATTTCCTTCAGACAGGTGGGTTTTCATTATAATGCTTTTTTATTTAAAGTGTCTGTACTACATAGAATGACTGATTAAAAAAGTCAAATAAAAAATCCAAAAGAAAAAGAACATCTTGAAACTTCTGCCTGGATAAAAGGATTATTTACAATCTATAACTTATATTTACCAAATATTTAAAGTTCACTTAATTTCCAAAATTATATTTTCAGGAATTTTGGAACATTACAGCCTAGCAAAACATTAAACCATATTTTCCAGAGCCACCACCGTCTATCATTCTACCTTGGTAGTTTGGGTTCTTCACATGCCAATTCTTTTCCTTGGGGTGGAGCTCCCCATACTGTAGCTCCCAGCAGCTACCACAGCCACCATCAGAATAACAGGACTTACTGCTGAATTGCTCACAAATAAAACTGGCTACACAAATAAGTCTTGAATTTAATTAAGTAGGCTTTTCCTGAGGAAAAGTTTTTCTCCTTGGCCAATCTTTTTAAGGCACAAGTTCTTGAAAAACAGATGAAATTTTCTGTGGACTATTTTGTATTATTCCCTTTTAAAATGTTTTCCAGGAGGAAAAAAAAAGTGTTTTTCAATGGGTTTCAATTGGCTTCTAAGGCTTTTTTTCAGTGCTATAACTGTTTAGTTGAGATATTCTTAAGAACAGAGTAGGTGTATGGACTCAGACCAAATATGCACCCAGCTGCTTTCTTGCACGTGGCCCAGGCCAAGAGCACCAAGGAGCATAAGAACAAGCACGTTCTTACTTGAACACTCTCCCAAGCTCCAGTAATTCATTGATCAGGATCTTCCCGAGGCAGAAGACAAAGTGTTTGCATTTAATAGTTTGATACTCTCCTTGTGTGACGTTTTTGAAGATATGTCTATGTTTACAACGCACAACATCCTGCTGCAAGCAGTTTAACACCTTAACAGTGTGGTGTGTGAAAAAGCACTGTTATTTTGAATCTGTCACTAGCTAAATGCATTTGAGCTCCTATTTCTCATACGGGAAAAGCCAATGAATATTCATTCTCTATTCACATTTACACATCTTGATTTCATAGCTCTACCACACTCCCTTCCGAGCCAGCTCTCTTCCAGTCTACTGAGTCTATTATGAAGTGTCAGCATATGCAGAAGCAGCTCCAAACCTCACCTAACTCCTCTTGCCAGTTGCTGTAGCCTTTCTGCTCTACTTGCTCCATTTTGAAGAGGGAAAATTGGAATTACGGCCAGTATTCAAGGTGCGGGCACACTCTGGATGCACTCAGTGCTGTAACGCTTTCAGACCTCTCCTTTTTCTCCTCCATTCTTAATGAGATTTCTTTTCACTGCTGTTGAAAACCCAGCTATTGTTTTTATAGATCTGTAGTACCCCCTAATGTTTGTTGGGAAGGGTACCAGTCAGCCCAGAGCCCAGCACTGTATCAACAAAAGATGCAATTTCTTTTTCTCAAGCGCTATTATTTAGAACCATGTCTCCCAATGATTTATAACAAAGTACTTGAAATTTCACAGGCTCCCTCACGCTCACTAAAGCCAGAAATTTCCAAATGGCAATCTACCCTATCGAGGATGTTAATACAGCAACATCCTAAACTGAGGTGACTTGAATTTAGATCAGAAAATTGTTCTGATTTGTGGCAGTGTTTAGCATGTGTAACTGCAACAGGGGACATCTGGTTTGGAAGGGAGGAACTACTCTAAAATGACCAGCTCCTGGAAAAGTCAATGTGGTCAAGGATGTGCTGCACTGCTCAACCTGGACATCCTGAATCCTTCATCATTCTGGTCTCAGTCAGCATCTACCTTGCTTCCCCATCTGCAATATGAGGGTAATAACACAATTTTACATCACAAGGGGTTTTGTGAAAACAAGGTGACAAATTACTTCAAAAGACTAAAGTATTATAATGATAAAATAAAAAAGGTTCATAAATAAAAGGTAACCATGCAAACCATTTGGTCCAGGTATCAAATGCATGGTACACAATTTAACACAATTTAAAAATCTCTTACAGCAGGTTTGGGGAGTATCAGGGAATTATTTGCATTTGTCAGAATGTGAAAGGATACTTCCCATTTTTGCTTCCTGAGAAAATTATGAATATTGATGATACAAAAGCCTAATCTTTCTGATAATTAAATATTTTAGTAATATAAAATAACAATTTTATTTTACATCTGCTACAAGACTACGAAATTATTTATTGAATAAAAAGACATTATTCCCTCCATAGTTCTCATGATAATGTTCCTAAATATAAATTATGATAATGTTCCTAAATATAAATTATATATATTAAGATACAAAATATATTTATATTCCTAAATATAAATTACAAGCAAATGCAAAGTTAAATAAATCAGTTTCCCCATTAATTTTTAAAACATTCAGTAGCCCACATTAGGTAAACAATTTGCAGCATCTGTCTCTAGCATTGCTCCCTTGAATCAGAAAAAAACATTTTTTCCATTGATTTACACTTCATTTACAAATTTTATTTCTGAAGAAAAAAACTCATAACCACAGACCTCTTTAAAAAAGCCTAATTGCTAGGGCGAGAATGGCATGCATCCTTGTCTGATGACATTTTTCCCTTAAAGATACATTTGCTTTCGATACTAGTTTTGCCCTAACGGAAGATAAGGATGTGACGGATAACTAAACTATTCTCAGTTTCACTCTAAGTATTCAATAACCCTCACAAAAATCACAAGTAGTGCTAAAAATTCCCCCCCAAATAAATAAAAGTCAACAAAATACACAGGGAAATATTTTAAACAGGAGATGCATAGTTTCCTAGTTTTATTCTTGACTTCTATAGAACGTAAATTATACCGACACCCAGCCTTCCCTGTTAATCCCAGAATCACAGAATAGTTGAGGTTGGAAGGGACCTCTAGAGATCATCTAGTCCAACCCCCCTGCTCCAGCAGGGACACACAGAGCACGTGGCACAGGGTGGCATCCAGGCGGGTTTGGAAGATCTCCAGAGAAGGAGACTCCACAACCTCTCTGGGCAGCCTGTTCCAGGGCTCTGTCACCCTCACAGGAAAGAAGCTCTTCCTCACATGGAGATGGAACTGCCTGGGTTTCAACTTGCAGCCATTACCCCTTGTCCTGTCACTGGTCACCATGGAGAATAGTTTGGCTCCATCCTTTTTACATTCTCTCCTCAGATATTTATACATATTTGTAAGATCCTTTCTCAATCTTCTCTTTTCCAGACTAAACAGGCCCAGCTCGCTTAGTCTTTCCTCATAAGACAGATGCTCCAGTCCCTTAATCATCTTCGTTGCTCTACACTGGACTCTCTCTAGAAGTCCCAGCACTAACGACCAGGCAAGCAGGCTCAGTGTCCTGTGCAATGGAGGGGACAAGGAACCACCATCTAACTTCAAACACATCTTTCCTGCCTAAGGTGTTATTGCTCTTTGCAACTGGCCCAGGGACCAGTCCTGCTATGAAGGGGTCTAGTATTTTTCTTACAAAAAAAGCACCATCTGATTCACAGGGATTTCCACTAGTGTCAGAGAGTCCAGCTCTGCTTCTGTTGAAGCCAATACACTAAAGCATACGAAGTGAAGCAGATTTTACTTCCCTTTGCCATTACCTGCTATGCGTTAAAACTCATTTTCACAAGAGATTTGTGGTTGCACTTTCCTGCTGTAAGCAAGAATGGGTAGGAAATGACTACCCATAGACCTCTGAGTATATTTGTCCTAACTTTGGCATTACTACTACCACAGTACTGATTATTGCGGATCAACAGTGCCAAACAACTGCCGCTTTTCCCTTAGCGCGAGGCAATGAGCCCACTTCGTGCAGACCACGGCCTTTTGATGACAATGGAAAATTTAACAATTTTAGATAATTATTAAAATCCGTTACAACTATTTTAATCACACAACAGTCGTTCAGCATAGCCACAAACAAGGCTATGTCCTGCACACTCAAGCTCATACTGAAGAATACACAGCACTTCTAAAACTGTAATCTTGATGAGAGGGGTTCCTTCAAAAAGAATATGGCTTTATTTCTTCACAGAAACTAATGTCCACTGATATCCAGAAGCAGAAATATTTAATATGAAAGGAGATGTTCCTTGCCACTCAAAGGCTGCATTAAAGCCTGGATATTTTAAGTCAAAGTAGGTAACAAGGTGACTGATACATTTCTCATTATTTGTATCTTCAAATCAAACCCAAGCGCCAGCCTGAAGTCAAAAGTCTTAGTCAACATGTTTTCAGTCATCAAAAGGAACTGAGCAGCAGGGGGATACAGTATACAGTTATGCCTCCAATTAGCTAATCATCAGTTTCCAATGGTTTACATTTTCTCTGATAATTATTAAATATGTTTGCTGATTTCCCCAAATATTTCCTTCTTGCATCACCAGGGACCTTCAGCCATCGCAGGGCCCTGTGCAGGTGGAAGTCTCCTTCATCCGCTTTGAATAAGCTAGGGATGTAACTCACCTTTCACAGACAGCAGCAAACAGAGCGGCCTGAACTCAACTCCCACAGAAGGTCAAAGCTCAGAGGGAGGATAACCAGACCATTAATTCAGTTGCAGACTTAAATAGAAAGCTCCTGTAGCAAGGACATCCAAAAAGGATTACTAAGTCTTCTAAGAACTTGTGAACATAATTAGGAACTGCAAGCTAAAAGCTAGGGGTTTTATTTTGAATTTTCATAAAAACAAAACAACAACAATAAAGCAGTACAGTAGACCTGTACAGTAGTTGCCATTTTTCTACCATCTCACTGTAGCAATATTCAGAATAGCTACTTCGTTGCTGCAATGTATTTCAGCCAGTAGTTTACTTGCTTGTATCCCTTCTGTAGACACAAATCACAGTCAAACAAACAAATCCTCTGACAAACTTTTAAGGAGACTCCTCTCTTTTTTTCCAGTTTTCTTCATTGTTTTATTTTCCCAGCACACAAACAGAATTCTAATTACATCTGCATTTCTACCTCTCACTCTTAAAGCCTTTCAGCTGCAGATTAGTAATTCCTAAAGACGCTGCTCTGCTTATGCTCCTAAAGCAGGTTGACCTGGCAAAAGCGATTGCACAATGTTAATCACATCATGTCTGGGAGCACACGCTGCTGTTCCAAGGAAAACTGCACAGAATCCACAAACGAGCTACAACAAACATGGTCAGAGCTGACACAATTTTCAGGCAGAGGACAGTCCCGTTCACTGCAGAGAACTCGCGTAGGTTCATATTGTGCTCATTTAGGTTTCACCTGACTTGCCTCTCCATATTAATGCATATATATACAAGCATGTGTTTATACACATACACAGATACATCAAGGTAAAAAATAACTAAGATGATCACCTAACCAGGCTCCTACAGAATACAAAGTTTACGACTTTCTTCAGCATCCACTTCATTTAGGGCAACCATGCATTGAAGTTCAGTCTGAGTAATTTCCCTCATTCAGTGAAGAAAAAGAGGAATAGAGGAAGAATATATAGGAATATATATAGGAATATGTCGGAGGAATAAGATGAATATATAATATATGAAAATATGTGAGCTTTATGATGAATTCTCTATTCGTTTTTTACTTATCCTCTTTTAGAACTTAGAGGTGTGAAAGAATTTCTATTTCTTGTCATTTTCCTAGTGAGCTTATTTTAGTATTAGCGCAGTACAACTCTACCTAGACTGCGGTTCTACAGGGGTGGCAGCATTGCCAATAAGGCATTTACTTTTGAAGCTTTTAGATGAAAAAGCTTGAAACTGAATGAGAGAAATACGTTGTTTTTTAGAGGTAAGTGGTTTGAATTTTAAAGCATCAATAGCGTATACAGAACAATACTGAAAAAATTCCACTGGGAAAATTAAATCAATTTTTAGAACTTAAAAGTATTTTTTGATTCCTCTAAGAATTCACTCACACACTCTATTGCAAAGACAAAACTCAGGGCAGAAGACCTAAGCATTATTTAAATAGAAAATATGGGGCTCTGGAAAGTAAGAGGGCTCTGTGGGGTTTTATATGTACACAACTGTGTTCATGTTATAAAAGTTATTATTATGCAGCATAACTTAATGGTAAAAGCCATTATGGTAGAATAAATTTATTTTCAAGAATAGCCTGAAAGAGTGAAAATAATGATAGAACACAATATTATAATCTAAGATATGTTTTCTGAACATACATATCACAGAAAAAGCTAGTATGACAGAGTATGTTTTCTCTTCCCATATCACAGCCTAAAATAACTTTCTAAGCTTATCTTTATACTTGTTTCTCTATATATTTCCATAGGCATTTCATCAAATTCCTCCAAGTAAAACAGTACTCCAAGTAATATCATCCATCAGGAAAGTATATATGTAAGATCAACAAAAATCTCAAGACTTCAGTTGCAGTGTCAGAGCAGCTACATTACTTTGTGCAAATGAAGAAAATGGAATTAACGGAATGCAGAGGGCACTGGGTCTGGGCAGAAACAGATATCCTCTTTGGGACGTGCTGAATAGTAGCATCTGCAGATGCTTCTGCCTGTTGAGTACAGCACTATCCACAGCTGTGCGACTTAGACACCTATTCGTGTGTAGACACCTACATTGAATGGACACTGAAATTTCAGTGAGTGAATGTGGAAGTAAAGGAAGTAAAATGCAGGACTGAAGCCATCTCCTAAGAATGCCTCACCCTTCAAGCCAAACAGGGGAGCTAACGCTAATGGAAGTCCAGCATGTTGCCCATTTCATTAGAGAACATTTCATTGTTTGCTGCAGATTATTATGTGCATTTTACATGAAGTTACTCTTAAAAAGCACTAAAATTCAAGCAATGGAGAAAACGGCTACCAATCTATGAAGCTCCACTTCCAAAAGCACCCCCTTTTTTTCTTGATATTTTATGCATGTGTAGATTAATGAAGATCTGCAGAATAAAGTGCCACAAAGCTTATTTTGTAGCGGTCTTTCCCCAGCTCTTCTTTTTCAGCTGTCCTTGCAGAGAAAATAAAGTTATTTTGCTCAGATTTGGTTCCTAGAAAGCTCAATGGCTCTGGCTCTGTCAGCTCTAGAACTTCTGTTTACAAAGCAATATTCAATAGAGTTCAAATTTTTGGTATACAAAGCAAAGTCTACCTTTTCATTCAGGATAAACTTTAGCTTTACTGGAGTTATATTTCATGCCTAATTGACTATTTGTGCTATACAGACGCCCTATCTACACAGTTGAAGTGCATATCCCAGGCAATTCGTCGGCTTTTCCTGTATGCCTCGGGGGTGCATCTTTTTAAAAAAGTTACTCAAGTGCTGTATGACACAGTGGAAAGCTGTATCCCAAATAACAGTATTTCAATAGTTTTGCAGACCTGGCCAGTGTGGATATTTAGGTAGACACATAGATGACAGATAGACAGGAAAAAAAGTTCACTGTAAAAAGATAAGCAATCATTACAGATTGTTTTATTTTAATTATCTTTTCCTTCTATCCATTTGGATACCATTACACTAAGTGCCTAATTTATTGGCTATTACCACAGAATAAAACTCTGCCAGAAGCACATACTGAAGAGGAATATTTGAAAGAAAAATGTGTGTGTCTGTCTAATATCTTACCTTTTTGTTGTTTGAGCTTTTCTCAGTTTCTTTTTTTACAGCATCTTGAAGATCAGAGGCTTGTTGCTTATATGTTAATGCTGTCAGTATCTCATCTTCTAACAATATGACATCGTCATGTGAAACTGGCCATCCCAGTTTTTCTAAAGTCTCCAGCAAAGCTTCCTTATTCTGCATATACTGGACTGGCCCATCTTCTTTAAACCTTAATAAAATAAATAAATACAAATCAGTAATTGCATTTAGGGCAGATTTTAATTTTTACTGTACTTTACAAATAGAATCATGGAGTTTAAAGGTAAAACAAAAAACCAAATTCTTCTAATCCGATCTTTTGAATGCCACAGATTCCTGCATTCAGTTACTGTTGTGTTGAATCAAGTAATTGCACTGGCTTAACCATATGCCACTGGAAGACAAGTAGACAGCAAATCAAAGGGCTGAGTATAGGTGCCTGATGTCATTTTAAACGCCTTAAAACATCTGAGGCATTGACAAAGACCTTATGATCCTAAAATCATGAAAATGCTAGGCTGTTCTGGCACTTCTTCTTGGCTACAGCTAAGTAGAATCTAGAGCATCTAAAATGGTACTTATTAAGTTCTCATTTGCTTCACGCATCAAAAAGACAGAATCTTCTGCTGTTTGTTCTTCTCGCAGTCCTGTTCCACTCTGTTTCTACCCATCAATCAGAAGCTTACTTCCATACATGGGTTATGGTTATATCAACATCTGTTAGACTGAAGGCTCATTTTAAACCTACACACTTAAAATACATCTACACAAGATGTGAATCAGCTACAGTATCAATGTTGATAAAGAAAGAACAAACAAACAAACAGAGCAGATTATTTAATTCTTTAAATTGCCTATTGGAAATAAGGTAGTTCTTTTTAGTAATCCCATTATTCCTCCAACTCTTCTGCAACCTTGCCAACATTTTAAAAATGTGAAACCTAGGCTTGCAGAGAGTGTTTAAATGTTAAATACTTATATTTATGCACAATTGTGGCATATTGTATTTTCTATTCCACTGCCCTACTCCTTCTCATTACTCAGCTCTCTATTCCTCCAGGAACTGTTCTGCATTGAAATCATACTGATTGACAGGGTTATTTACCCAGATTTTGTACTCTATTAACAAAATCCACTATTCATCTGGAACTGATGTAAAGCAAACTGATCTACTGAATCACTTCTTTCAACTATTTTGAACACAAATCACTTCTACATTAAATCTAAATTTCCCTCACAATCTCATATACCTTTTGGCAAACATCATCTAGTAATAGACCACAATTGCTAAAATTTCTTTGTTTCTTATATACCTAAACTCATGCCTTATATACATGGTCAGTCTTGCTTCAAATATAATCACGACTAAGTAAGTCATGATTATGATGAGTTTAGGTATATAAGAAACAAGTCAGATGATTTTAGGTATATAAGAAACAGGTCATAAACTCATGACCTATATAGCCATGAAGTAATGAAGTAATATAAATTTCCAGTGTGGTACATAGCTCCTGTCAGGATAAAAGTGCTTATAAAACCTTTGCAAACAGCCATTAAGGTGCTCTTTACTGGATGACAGACAATATATCAAGATGCCAAAGGTGATATTATGCTGCCCTCCCAAGGCCTGCCACCTGACACTTGATTGAGAATAGATTAGCACCATTCAAAAGGATTGCAAGTCCTTTCCTTTAAAAATAACCAGCACTGGAGAAAGGAGGCTCAGAGTTTAATACTACTCCATATCACATATCCCATTTTAAAGCAATGTACAGGCCCAGAATATTTGAAAATAAAACAAGCTAGTTACAGAACTAGTGACCAAAAGAAAAAAGAAAATGTGATATATTTATGACCAGCTTTTCAGAGGTGAGGTAGAAGACCAAAAGGTGACAGCTTACTTGTCTCGTTCATCTTGAGGTAGCGCTCTCCAAACAATTAGATTTAGGCGCCTATTAAAGAAAGCAAAACAGCTGTTGAGAATGCATTTCCTTGTACATCTGTTAACCTCAAAAGAGCAGCTGAATAGTTCATTTAGATTTCTGCACTGATTTGTATTCCAAGATCACTGTATTGTCAAACTGTATCATTCAGCTATGAAATTATCAACTGCAAGAGAAGGAAGGAAAACAGTATCTTCTGTCAAGTAGCAATATGATTATTTTGGGGTCATGGAAGGATTAGTGGCAATGACTGATTCCTGCCAGGATTTTCTATGGAGGGTTCAGTTCAGCACCACCACATTAAAACAAACAACAGAACTGATTAAGTACCAGTTAACTTAAGAACAGCTCCATTCATTAAACAGTTCCAAAAAATGTAGCCTGAAGACACATGGAGGGCAATGCTAATTACATTTTTCTGCCAAGATAACCCCTCAGTTGTGCCATTCACATTTCTACTTCACTAAACTCTGGCTATGCAGGAAAACCACTGATAGGAAAACAGAACTGAAGCAATGCAGTTCTGTGACTTTTTAAAAAGACCACAAACCCTTCTGCTTTTGCTTTCTAGATGCTAAGCTTTTATCATGTTGTCTACTTCACAGTTTTCTCTATTAACATTTAAACAGTTAAGCCATTGTTCAATTACTTTATTTCATTGGTAAAAATCTTTACCAATGATCCTAGCTGCTGTAACTATAGGGAAGTGAAATATACTTCGAAAACATTAGAACAGATTCATTGTTTCGAATAATTCAGACCCGTTAGACTTCTAAGTATCTTGTTTGATTTACTGTCACATATCCACAAAAAAGTGTATTAAAACCAGACCTTGAGTATGAATTTCTTGTTGGTTCATTTTATCTTCTAGAAATTAAAACCAAGCACTTTCAGCATGTAAATGACTTAATTCATTCACAACCTGGAGTCTCGGTGTGCTCCACCCCCTACATCACACTTCTAAACCTGCCTCCTCATAACTGGACTCGTTTGTAAAAGCCTCTAGCTATACGAGATCATGCAGTTTGCAGCTTTCAGACTTTTTCTCATTCAGTAGGCTCGTTGTCAGAGCATGAAATTACTGCCCTCACCACCTTCCTCCCTCTTTATTTGGTGCTAAAGGAAAGCTACATATGGGGAAGATACTGCCACGCTTTCTGTTGTTCTTCAAAGCTGCATGCACTGATATACTGTCTAACCTATGAATGCCAGAGTAAATTTGTGTCCAACCACCACGCACAAAGCTGAACAGCAGCCTTTGCAAATTTAATTACTGAAAATGCATTGTTTATAGCAAAATAGTTCATTTGGCTTGCAGTTTCACATGTAGAGGAAAAGCAATAAGAAAACATATTTTTTGTATCATTAATGATAAGGATCCTAAGGCAGGTCCATCTTTTATAGATATATTTACATGAGTCGGGAACTACATCCTGCTATTATAAATATGACCAATTAAGCCCTATGGGACAGTTTGCATAGTTAAACATTCCCACTCACCAAAGTTTGAGAGACAAGGGCCAATATTGTTACAATCCTAGAAAATATATTAAATACAGAATGAGATAGCACAACAGGGAAAAGCTTGAACATTTATTGAAGAACATCAGAAATATCTCAGCCTTTCTACTATAATCAGTGACAAAATGATTTGCTACAGAAATCAATGACAAATCTAGATTTCTGAGTTCATCAGAGCACACAATAACAACAGTTTTTTTCACTGATTTCCATTAATATTAGACACTGTGAGAGTCATTTGCAAGTCAGAATTCTTGACTTTTACCACAGACAGAGATATATTTAGCAATAGGAAATGGGAAGGAAAAGGAGAGCTATGAAATGTTTAAAAAAGAAGTTATATGACCACAGAGATACAGAGAAAAGCTTGAAGAAGCCACACTGGAATTAATCAGAAAGCAACACATAACACTTCTCATCAAGGCTTTTTGTTTTTGCTTATGTGAAATAATAATTACTTTTGTAAATGTTGTTAGAAAAAAAAGTCTGATAAGACATCTCATCTCAAAAACCCACACAAAATAGACTAGATATCTAATGTCCTGGTTCTATTCAATTCTCAAATAAATAAGGCCAGTATAGACAGGTGCCTTGGTTATCCTCCTGCACCTATAGCTAGATTCTGGCAGAATATAGCTACAGGCTGGCAGAACAAAAAGGCCACTTATATTTAAATATAAGTCTGTGCTTTCAGAAACCTAAATGTAGATTATAATCTTGCTACTACGGTATGTTCTGGAGGTGTCCCTTCAGCAAAGATTGCTTCCAGGTTTACTCTCAGAAAGCAAGCAAAATACTATTTTCTTTGTCATTGAAAAAAAACACAGTATGAGCAACAGGGTATTTATGATCCCCTTGGCTATTCACTGGTTTTTCATTCTGTATTTTTTTTTAAGAAACAAAACATTTCTCCTACAGGTTAACGGTCAATTAATGTGTTTCAAAGTGTGGAATTACCCGTATGGGCAAATGTATACCCAATAAATCAGAAAAACCTGCATCTGGATTTTAAACATGGTAAATTTCTGATTGTCAGACTTGCCTTTCATAGGATTTAATTGCCTGCTCCAGTTTCTCTTTATAGGCATCAAGATTCACTGCCTGAGGATTAATTAGTGTGATCCGCTTCTTGTCACTGCTAACATGGGCCAGTGATAAAACCTATAACAAAATAAAAAAAGAACGACTTAATTATCACGTTTCCTCCAAGAGAGCGCAGAATGCCCACGACTCCATATCCAAAGATCAGAACAGACAGAAAGGAAAAGTATGAGGAAAGAAAAGAAAGGCTGCAGGAAGAAATCTCGGAACACCCTAAGGAAACGGTCATTAGTCAGCAATAAGGATTTTCAAAATTAAGAAATCATTTTTATACTGTTAATAAAATCTTCTGAAATTATATGAACCCCTTACACAAGTCAATGGTTTTAAGCCAAGACAAAGCAAGATTTGTAATTACTAGCTAATTCTAACTAAATCAGTACTCTCCAAAATGTGACTTTAATAATGAAAGAATAGGTCAGAAGGGACACATGCGTGTCTAGATCATGAGTATACTCCAGATTGTATTACTTTAAAACAACACTGTCTTACACTTAGTAGCATTTAATTCTAGCATAAAGACAGGGCAGTTAGTTATTTAAATAAGCACTTATTCTGGAGGACCATGTTTTCAAAAGAATTAGAGTCCAAAAGACACAGAGAGACATTTTTGACCACCACACCGACTCCTGACAAGAACAAGGTGGCTGTTACCTACTGAAACCAGTCTTAACTGATTGCAGCAAGGCCGAGGAACCTACTCAGGCTGAGGTTCCTCACCGTCATGCAAAGCCCACAACAGAGTATCTCCAGCTTACCAAGAAAATAGGAAGCCATACACTCATCACCAGATCTTCAAAAGGGGGGAAAGGGGCAAAGACACGGAAAGAGGCCTTCCCATCTCCCAACCCAAAGTCCCAACGTTCTGCAGACTATTAAATTACTCAGAGTTACTTTATGAAAAGCTACTTATTTATCAGCGTCCTGACCACGATCATCAAGAGAAAAAAATCAGAAACCATACAGAACAGCATGAGAATGTTACTCTCCCCAAAACACTTCTCTGCACATTATAGTGGAATGTGAAGCTTTTCCGTGTGTCAGGGTATGGATGACAAAAAGACAGAAGAACTTCAGTTTAGATAAAGCTGAAACTTGTGTTGATGAGATGACTAATTGGCAAACAAATCAAAAAAAATGGATTTAACGCATTGGCACTTTTCCATTATATTTTGTTTGTGTTCAAATAATCACAACTTAGCTGGATTCCCAGTTACGTCTGCATTATCATTTTTCAGGAGCAGTGGTGTGACTTTATACTCCCCAGGAGCAGCTGGCTGTGAAGTTGCAGACCTCTCTTTCTGAGGGCCTCTTCACTCTGATTTATCCACATCATCTTAGTGTCAGTCTACATCAAAGTTTTCATATTAGATTAATTTTAAGATCACTTAGAAGCTAAAGTTAATTGCAACATGACAGTGAAGTATGAGTTGGATAAAAGTGGACTTGGAAAGCTGAATGCCAAGGAACTGAGAGCACTTCTTGTCCAATTCCATATGGCCCTCACTGCTGGCTCTTACATTATTCAACCAAGATTTTAAAATGTCAGCAAGACCTTACAAATTCCCACAGCAACTGCAAATATAAACAGCATCGTGTCCTAAATGACTATTTAATACAAGTCTAGATAGAACATGAGGGATAGGCAAACATAAACACCTTATTACAGTATTGAAGAATAAAAACAGAATAAAATGTATTCTATATACACTACTAAGCTTATCATACATACTCTCAAAGTCATGAAAACTGCTTGCAAAGTCAAGTTAAATTTGACAAACAGATTCAAATGAAGGAAAACACAAGGAAATTTTTTGAATGTCAAAATGTTTTGGCATTTTATAAATTAAATGCTTACATTTGCATATCAAATGAATGCTTTTGTTTCAAAATAGCTCTTAGTTGGGAAACAAAACAAAAACCTGTTTCCTCCTTTTGCTTGATTTGCTAGCATGAAGCTTGAAGGAGAATGGGTACTGCAACTGATAAAGTAAATATCCAGAAGCTCCCAATGACCTACACCTACCAATATTAGGTTTTAATTATAGAATTATTGTCTTTAGAAGGACGTAGGTAAGCCCTGAGAATGCACCAATCCACAAAAGCCCGCACGATTATCTTTGGACTTAATGAGCTTAAAATATAGAACTCCAGTGAATTAATACACATCAGTAGCAGTTGTGGCTCACACAAAATTCCTAACCACCTGATGGCCACACACTGCCATCAACTGGCAACTGTGAGAGAAAGATGAACAGCTCTAAAAGTTTCAATCTCTCCACTTGGTAGGAAATGCTATTAACTATCAGCTGTATCTTCTTCCTGATGCATGAATGAACTTTCAGATATGCACTATGCATTTTGTGTACATCATAGGGAACATCAGAGAATTGAATCATGATATTTGCAGATATGAATAACAAAATCCTTCTTAAAACAATGCCAAATTTGGTTTGCTCTAAAACAGCATAAAAGCTTTACCTCATCAAATACTTTGGAACCCACATGCTTGTCCAGCACTGGTATGTAGGTAGTGCCATGAGGGACAGCAGTCGGAGCTAAGGCATCCAGGATGGTGAGGCGCCTGGCGACCAAGCCGTGAGTCCTTAACCAGCGAGCCGAAGAGGTAGCTGCACAACTAGGGGAAAAGAGACTCTAGGATGCAGCACGAGCTAGAAATGTAGTTGAGCAGTTCAAAAGGACTCAAGAAAAATATAAACTATCACTTTTGTGATATATTTGTATGTGCACAAACGTACCTTTTGCATGGTCTTTTCAAATCTCCCTGCATTTTCAGATCTGGGAAAAAAAACATTTGCAATGCATTAGGTCATGGCTTTTGTGTAGATAGAAGAACACACACTTACACTTACATAGTAGTAGTATCACCTTTTTATTTTATTTATTTTATTTAGTAACAGTGTCACAAGGGCTGTACAGTAATGTCCATTTCAGTGGCTAAATTTATCAATGAGAATTGTATTTCCTGTGGTTCTTTCTTGGTGCTTGATCACTATTAACATAGTTACCATATCTCTCATGGCATCTAATTAATAAAGAAATGTATAAAGAAGATAGGGAATATTTTAATTAAAAAAATCCTTTGAACTTTATATATATATTAATTTCCTATAAACCAAAAAAAAGATTAACCAGTTTATCCCCAAATTCAAGATATAATATCAAGTATCACTAATGAGATGGCTTGGGCTGGCTAATTTAAGGTGTACCACTATGAAAATCTGTATAAACACAAAAGGTATCTAAGGAATGAAGACATCAAAATGCTCAAGCATCAAACATTTTTACATAGAGGTGAGGTTTTAGAACTGTGCATATACCCGGTTGACAAAAAACAAGGATGCTTCAGTCTCCTCTGTGCAGTCTCAGCCACAGCTGTGGCACAACTGTAGTGCCTCGGGGACACAGATAAGCTGTTCTCACACTAACTGCCTTGGGCACTGGACCAAGGAATGTGGCTGCACAGCAAGGACACTACTGCAGCACCCTCCTGAATGCCCAGCCCTCTGCACCTCTGCTGAGTTCCACTCGCTCCTCTTTTCTGCAGGTCTGCTTAGTTTTGTCCCAAATGAGACATCACTCATTTCAAATCTATTAGGAGAAATGTTATCACCTGTCCCACTCCCAGCTTCCTGTTGGGATAACTTGCCTTTGAAAGTGGTTGCAGATTTCACATTCTTTCTGTCAGAAAAAAACTTTTTTTCAGGAGATGCTCTTTCCTCTGGGCTTTCTTCCCTAGATTTCATTCTGTGGCTCAGGATTCTCAACAGACTTGTCTTTGTTTGTTCTGTAGGTGTTAAAAGGGAAAGAAAAGAACAGCTAACATTAATCAAATACATGGCAGAGATTTTTGAAAACTCAATTATTCTTTGGTTGTCCAGTCCCAATTTTTGGGGACTGCCTGCCCAAGACATCAATGATAATACAACTTCAGTGCTAATTTGTACTCTGTATTTTCCCAGGGGTGAAGACTTTTTTTCATATCAGCCAGATAAATTCTGTTTCAGATTGCATCTATGTGATGCTTCAAAGAGAAATTTAGTGTACTGAGGAAAAATATGAGCGTAATTAATGATGTAATTAATGAAACATAGAACAGCTCTTCATTTTCATCAGTGATGCACTTAATTAGATTAGAAATAAATTAATCAAATATGAACTGTTAACAAACTGCTTACATAGGTTTTATAGCATTTCTGTCAAAACAGTTCCATCTTTCATTGAGGGACTTGTGATGAAGCATAAGGAGAAGACATTTGTCAGTCTGGCTCAAATCAGTAAGACAGGTGAGAAGCAAAATGATTAAAAGTAAGTTAGAATTGCAGGAAAATGGCTTCTTATATAATCAAAGGCTTCATTTATTCCCGCAAGAAGCGATGCTCTATTCTAGAATTAGCACAATCCTTTAAAGTGAGTAAATCAATTCTACTAACCACAGTTCATTTTAGATTCTTACCTGCATAAAGCACCTTCTTCCTTTGGGCTGGGCTGTCGCCCGTCGCTTGCCAAGCACAGGCTGTGCGCGGACGCGGAGCCGGCGCCGCTGGCTCTTCGGAAACACAGCCCGGCCTCTTGTGAGGAGCAGTACCCAGCTCTTGAGCATGTGTGATTACAGAAGACACAGCCAGTACCTGCTTGGGAGCATCGCTTCTAAGTGACAAAAACAACAACAAACAAGCAATAAATGAGCTTCTAAAATATGATATAATTGGTTAAAAGATTATAAGTGCTAAGCTAAAGTGTTCTGGAAATTTAAATGCTCCTTTCAATTATTTCCAAGGATGCAAAATATTTGCTGTATTATCCTGCTCTGAACTCCAAAGAAGGGATCAAAGGCAGTTAAAATATTCTTAAATATTTTAAAAATATTTAAAACTTATTCATTAACCCATTTCAAATGTTGTTTGTTAGGTTTCAGGCAACACCCAAATGTAAATTTTTAATGAGGTCACAATGTTCTGTAGTAGTAGCTTTGAATTCTAGGGGACAGAGTAAGATAACCAACAGTAATGAAAGCAAGTGACACATATATATACATGTCCCAGCATTAATAAAAAATAAATAAACCAACTTTGATGTAAGTACTTATTTTCATTTTTATACTGGACAACCTACTTTCCCTTCCACATACATTAAGTAAGTCATACAAGTGGACACTCCACTTCAAATTTCTTCTTATTTAAAACATTTGTTTTATTGTAAGCATATTTATTTTAATTTACTGTGAGACTGTCAGTGAGTTTGTCAACTGATGCTGAACTTGAAAACACTTTTAATGAAGAAATTACTTATATTTTGATCAAAAGCAGCTCTATCAATAGGGTAATCTTTTTTTTATGAATTCTTCAGGTCAAAGGGAACAACTCTACCATGTGCTGAAGACATCAAAATATATTCACCTCTTTGCATTAATTATTCCTAATACTTGAGAGACTCTATTGTTTTGTTTTTATTATTGTATTGTTTTTTCCATTAATATAACTGTTCCTTTCCAAAAAAATCAGCAATTCTTCTTGAAAGAGAAGAGTTAAAAATGCAACACAATGCAGAAGGAGAAATCTAACAGATAGATAGCTCCTACCACATATAAGCATAACGAGAGTTCGAGGACATACTTGTTCTCCGTGTCTTTTTCTCTGTTACACCAATCCATCATCAGACATTCATCATGAAAGTTCTTCACTTTCTCTAGATCTCTTTCTCCCTTTTCAATCTCTTTTCTTAAAAGGCGCATATCTTCACTCTATCAAAGAGAAAGTTAAATGTGTCGTTATGATTACTCTTTAAATGTTTCATTTCTGAACCAAAACTATCCAAACTCTGACAATAATTTTGAATAATGATCCAGACAGGACAGCCACATAATTTTGTATAATTCTTCAGGGAAACTACCTACTCCCTGTAGTCTCCCTGCTTCCTAAACCAAAGTTTGTTTTGTTACTTTCTGCACATACAAGCAAGCAGACAGCAAAAGAAGATCGTAGGGGATCTTCTGGGAGATCCACTCCCAGAAGTGGAACAGGAAGATCATTTAATCAATTCCTGCTTTTTAGGAAAAAAACCTAGCATCCTCCAACAAGCCAGTTATGCTTTGCAATATGAACTGCCATATTTCTAAATAATACAGTGAGTTCATAAATAAATAAAATACAAGATATGTACATGTCAACTACTATTGTTCCATCAGTCCACCAGATTACCACTGTTATCACACCCAGTCCTTGAAAAATGGGAACAAAAAAACACAGTCTTTAAGTAAGTGTTGGAAGTGAACAGACTGGGAATCATTTGAATCACAGTCAGGAGAAACAGGTATGAAATTCCAAAGATGATCCCTTTCCAACCCCCCACAGGGTGCAAATTCTGGCTTCAGACAGCAGAGGTTCCGTTCCTCATCCTTCCAACATGTGCCAGAGTCACACACCAGAAGATACACCAAAATTGCCCAGTGTATCCCCTGACATATCGCCAGCGCTGGCAGGACAGAGCTCTTCCTTCTTCTAATTACTCTCTGCAGCAGTCTTAATTTTCTGCTACTGTCTTGTTCCCAGTTACTCTCATAGTTCCACTACAGCCATTGCTAAAATTTGTGGAACTAATTAACTGAGTATTAGCTTTAATTAAAAATGAGAATATGCTTTCAGTGGGTGTTTCTTTCAGCCTACTCAGAATTTTCCTACTGGGAATTGTTAGATTGAACTCCTTAGTTACACTCGACAGGTCTCTGCCATTCTAGTTACTTTAGTCATTACAGATTTCTCCCCAGTGGCTGTTGTAGAGGAAACTTTTAGCAAAATTCAGCTCTCCATTCTCTCATTCATTAACAGGATACAAATCAGAGTTTCATTTTACACAATAACTTATTTCTGAGACAACAGATATCATGCGTGTGCCTTCCAGAGCTGAATTTGACTTAAATGTATATCTTCCTTTTAGCAACATTAGTACAATAGATGTACTTTAAATATTTGGGCTTATTTGTTGTGATCTAATAAAATATCATAATCAAAAAATGGCATACTCATTTCTTTCACTTCACTTCAGATTTGACTAGAATTAACCTTGTTTTCTAAATAATATATTGTATGTAATATGAAACTGCAGTAGTGTAAATTCTGTGGCCTCTTCAATAGCACAAAGCAGCAAGCATGTGTATTTAGAAATACTCACAACAAGAGTCTCCGCAGCCTCAGGATCAGTCAAGTAAATGTTGTAATAATGAAACCGTCCCCCTGTTTCTGTAGCTAGTTCATGCAAAAATTTATTGGCTTCGGTATCATCACAGTTGAAGGATACAGTATGAATGGGAATCTTATGGTGAAGCTGGACTTCAGCCAAAATTGTTTGAGGGCGCTGAAGAACAAAAGTGTTTATTGAGTATGTGGCATGTAAAATATATTTACCAAAACGCGGAAAATCTGTATAGAATTTCAGCAGTTGTAACGGGACATACACATAGATATGGCTCAGTTAAAAGCATGCATTTTATACAGATTGCATATTTCATAATTACATAAAATGAACTCATTTTGACTAAATTTGTTGTCCTGAGAATGTTAGAGGTAGGGGATACTCTAATAAAATAAAATTATAAAATAATATTATGCTTTGTTTCTGAAGTTTTAAAGGAAAATAATGCATTAAATTATGATAAATTAAATATGTTCTAGAATATATGTCCTAAGTTAGCAAGGTTAAGTGCCAAACAATGCAGATTTTATTCAATTGTAAACTGAGAATTTTTAATAACTGATAACCAATAACAATCAACTTTCCTTTAGAAAATAATAGAGATTAAAACTAAAATTAAAAGAAAATTTAATATGTACATTAAACATTTTCATCCGCTAATTTAAATTGGGATTAATTACGCTTTGATATTCAAGTAACTTTGAAGCATGTAAATTTACCTTGATTCTTGGGCTACTTTCCTTTGATCAAGAAAAATAGAGTAAAAACAATAGTAAGCCTTTAGTATTTTTTTCATTATCAGGGCATAAAAAAGTTATTTCTCTAAGTTTATGATGTTTCCGGAATCACAGATTTATTGCATATGTTTAAGCAATTAATTTTATGTGACTTTTAACACAGCTATTTACCTAAGTAAATACCTACATACTTAATGCATTACTTGGTAAAAAATCTTGAGCTCAAGTTCACTTATTTTGTTATCAGTCACTTTCTTTTTATGTTTCCAAGCCATCACATGAGATTGAAAGTTTTTCATAAGGTTTTAAATCCAATCATAGTATGGGAGATTGCAAGCTCTTAATATTTCAATCCAATCATTTTATGGGACGTTCATTATTTCTCATTTTTTAATTAACAAGAATATTTTTGCTAAGTTAGGAAAGGAATAGGTACGGTTTAATACAAATCCTAATCTTAGACATTGAGATACAATTTTAATCAATTATCAGATCCTTAAAGCAACTAATTAAAAATTACACATCAAAAGTGGGATTGTTGGAGAAGAGTTCTTGTCAAAACCCTTTCACAAACAGCACATTTTAGAGATACAATTTATTGATATTATGACCAAGAGACTGAGCTCTGGACTACTATATCCATCTCCTACAGTTTGCCTCAGCCTTGTGCCACCATCTGCAGCACCACGCTAGTTCATTTTCTGCTATTTCAGAAATACCTGGTCAGGTCTCCCATCGGTCAGAAGATAAATGGCTTGAGTGTCAGTATCAGCGAGAGCAATCTGCAGAGCTCGGAGAGTATTTGTGGAAGTTCCAACCTAAGCAACCAAAAGGAAGTAGACAACATTGAGTGGCCAGAAAATCAAAGCGAATGTCAAAGCAGCACCTATTAGCACCAAATTGCTATTCTGGGCTTATGCAATCATATATAAGTGAATTGTTGAGCAATAGAAATACAAGCTGTAGCAAAAGCAACCACTGAAAGATTATAAACAGATAGGAGGAAATACATAGAGGATATATTGTATTTTCCCATTACTGTTCTTGATTGGCAACTCATCACACTTAACATGTATGTTACTTAACCCAATAATTCAAACCCGTAAATGAGTTGCTCAAGATGTTTCTCAAAAATAGGGAAAAGAGTTACTGCTTTTCTCAAGTAATTTTCTCCAAACTATCTTCCATCTAATCCCTCAGAACATTGATATAAACATAATTTGTTTTTCAATAAAAATGTTAGCCATGACAATAAAAATACAACAGTACTGTGACTTCTAGAAATTCATATTTGAGCAACACTTTCCATGTGTTATTAACATACTTAGTGTTCATGACTTGTCTTCTTTCTTTCTAGACTTAATGCAACTCCTAAACTCACTGAAATGCAACTCACAGCTTACAGGAACCCAAGACCTAAAATATTTTATATCTTCAGATTTCTACCTTTCAAACATTCCATGTACAAAAACTACTAAATTTAAGGGAAAAGTGAAGTTTTATCAATGTGGAAAAATGTTTTGTTAATTCTTAATTTTACATTTGTATAGGACCCAAGAAAACTTTACAACATACAAATCTTTACAAGATACAAGTCTATCTTATGGTAGTATAATGCATGAGTACCTGTTCAGACAGCAATGAGAATTATAGAAGCCTAAGCGACAAGAGACTTAGGATCCACATATATACCATATTGCAGAAGATACATATGTTTTTATCAACCCTAACATTGACCCTACATCCAAAAATATGTTAAAAGAGAGCATTATTAATTCAGTTCTAGTAACTGTGTTAGCTAAAACGTCTTCCAGTCTGTCTTTCTTTCAAAAGCTTATTAGAAAGGGTAGAGAAAGTAAATCATGTAACACAGATGGTACACTCTGGGAGTGACTCTGTAGACCTATGCAACAGTTACATGGGCCAGGCAAGGTGGTCACTTAGATGCTTTATACTCCTATCCCCTTATCCACAGAAAGCTCTAACGGTACCCATTCATAACTAGCCTGAGCCACTTCTTGTGTTAAATGCATCTAATATTTTTAATGTTTTAGTATGCATCACAGAGTTTTAAGCACATCACCCTTAATACTGGGTCTTTCTAATGATGGTATCTGGTTTTGAACTTCTTCTACTTTTCATGGGAAAAGACCTATAATGTGGATGTGAATGATATGAAGAAAATGCATGACTATGAATGTTAGGGTAAATCTTCTTAATTTTAGATTTCTCAGTTGCTACTTTTTACAAATTGATTAGAATAGATTAGGGGTTGGCCCGCTGGAAAGCAGCTCCATGGAGAGGGATTTGGCAGTCCTGGTTGACAACAAGTTAACCATGAGTCAGTAATGTGCCCTCGTGGCCATGAAAGCCAATGGGATCCTGGAGTATGTTAAGAAGAGCATCTCCAGCGGGTCGAGGGAGTTGATCCTGCCCCTCTACTCAGCCCTGGTGAGGCCACATCTGGAGTACTGTGTCCAGCTCTGGGCTCCCCAGTACAAGAGGGATGTGGAGCTTCTAGAGAGGGTCTGGCATAGAGCAACAATGATGATTAAAGGCCTGGAACATCTATTGTATGAGGAAAGACTACGCGAGGTGGGCCTGTTTAGTCTGGAGAAGAAAAGGCTGAGAGGGGATTTGATCAACATGTACAAGTACCTGAGGGGTGAATGTAGGGAGGAAGGGGCCAAAATCTTCTTGGTGGTAGCCAGTGCCAGGACAAGGGGCAATGGGTGCAAGTTGAAACCCAGGCAGTTGCATCTCCATGTGAGGAAGAACTTCTTTCCTGTGAGGGTGACAGAGCCCTGGGACAGGCTCTGTGTGTCCCTGCTGGAGCAGGGGGGTTGGACTAGATGATCTCTAGAGGTCCCTTCCAACCTTAACCATCCTGGGATTCTGTGAAAAGCACCACCGTTTTTTGTAAGTTTATAAGTGAATGTGACATGCTTTAATTATGAGGTACCCCACAAAATGTAAATGTTATCAACCTCTAAAGGATTTTTAAGACACAGTTACTGTTTATAGCTCAACTTCCCTATTCAGCATCTCTGGGAACCAAAGCATACAACAAGAGATCAAAGGGCCTATTCTGTTTTATATTCAGAGAGATCTGCTGTTCCTTTCAGCTTCACTGTGAAAACAGCTTTCTGATTTCGGGTTTATGCCTGTGCTGTTTTAAACAGTCTAAAATGTCAGGAGATGAGATCCTTGAAAAAAATGTAGACTCTTCTTGTACAATTCCCCGTGCTTTTCAAAAATTCAGAGCTGAGCACTTGAAAGGAAATGTATAGAGCCAACAATTCACAGCTTCAGTGAACAGTGATAAAAATGGCCATTACTAAATGCATGTACAAAATGGTGTCAAATCAAGCAAGCTCAAGGTATGCTCAAACCTGCATGATGTAGCACATGTATGGCTTAAACAGAGACAATTCTCTGGGTCTGAAGGAATGCAGGACCATTTAGTTTACTAACCACACTTCTCTAACTGTTCAGCCAGGCCACACGAATGTTTCTCCCTTCCTATGCATTTGTGTTACTGTTTTCTGAGTATGATGGGTTATTATCACTTGAGGAAGGGTGAGGAGTTTGATTACATGTTATTCTGTTAGCAAATGTAACATGGGATATATGGGTACTGATTTGCAGTCCCATATTGGTGATGCTGCCATCCACATTTGACCCAAGGACTGGTCTGAAGCTGTTGGCAGTTGCACTCAGGCTAGTGTGTGACTGTGGCAGACTACAAACACTTCTACTTCATTTCAGGGAAAATTCACCTGCTTTTGGCCACAGGCAGAGAGAACATTGGGAAGAGAGGTGGGTGTCTGGTCTGACTAAGTTAGGCTGCTCTCATCTTTCTGTAGAAATCGAGAGCCAGCTGCCTGCCTGTGCACCCAAAGGGACGTGAGGAGCTCCTGCAGCTCCCTGGTGCCAGCTCAGAGCTCCCCAACAGACAGTTTCTTAAACCACCCCTGGGCTGTAGGTCTGCCCACAACTCCTCTGGTCCATGCAGCATCCATGAAGCAAGAATGACAAATCTGAACATGGGATCTGAGTCTGTCTCCTGAAGATATCAAACTTGCATTGTAGCTATTGAAAGTATCAAGCTGTAAGTGGAATTGATATGAATTTATAAACATATCCACCACAAAAAGGTAATACCTGATGCAGACAATGCTTTTTATTCTGATCAACTAAACTTCGTATCTCCTCTGTATTCTCAGGAAATTTAAGTCAAATACTTAGTCAATCTGAAAAATAATTCTTGATAATTAGTTTCCATTTTACCTCAAGTCCTTTTATCCAAAGCCAAGCACCCTGCAAATTCTCCTCATTAACTTCAGCCAGTTTCTCTTGCCATGCCACTGCTTGAGCACTAAATTTCACAAAGTTAAATCTCTTTTTGTGTCTCAGTTGTTCCTGCAAGAGACATTTTGAATATTGTGTTGTATTCTCAACAGATGATTAGAGTCAGACTAGTAGAGTCTTAATTAGTATATATTGATTATATGGTTACAATAAATTATGGTATCATTGAGTTAGGGCATACAGAGAGACACACTGAGACAGAGATGGGTCTGACACTGTGTGCAATTATTAAGATGATATGAACTTCCCAGTGTGAGTCTCCATTTACTCCCAGTTCTAGGTCTAGACCATCTGAGAAACAAGTATCTAGGAGGGTGAGAAACAGAGATGAGACTGGATATGAACATTAGGATAAGGAAGAGATAATGAGTGTTTTATACAGGAAATTAAAATAAGAATCAAAATAAGAGATTGTTTAGAGCAGGAGAACAAAAGGAAGAATTAGGACAGTAAAGGGAGAATTAAGAATTTCCTGAAGTTGTTTTTTGGATGGAAGTTATAATAGACTGAAAGTTCTGTGCAAGCTGTACAAACTTTCAGAGCCTAGAGTCTTTGATTCCCTATTGCTATTACCATTTCTGTGCAGAAACCTTCTGCAGAATATCTATTCTTCTAATGCTGATCCACCAGACAACCACATTTTACTATTTCTTGTCAGTTACACACTTAGTTCAAAAAACTCTGTTATAGTTCTTTTTTTTTTTTTAGCCCACCTAATGATTGCTAACTGTCAAACAGATGGAGTAATTATTTTTCACTGGCAAAGTTAAAGTACACGACTGAATCTAGTACCTGCATTATAAATCACAACATGCCAGTGGAATTGGATAACATTGCTTAAAAATAAAAATGAAAATTCCAAAGCTGTTTCATCACATTGCACTTGTTATTTTTTTGTCTTCAGAATCATCGCTTAAACAAACCTGCATGAGCTGAAATATTTTCTCCTTCACCAATGACAACTTGTCCTTCATAGACTGAGATGTATCAATAAGAATATAGACATCATCTTCAAACACGTTTCCAAAGAGCCCTCTACTTCCTTGCTGAAGCCACTTAATCCTGAAGTGAGATGGGGGAAGAAAAAAAAACACATGAGAGCACTGTGTATCATAGTCTAACAGGAAGTATCTTTTTATCATTGCTGCATTTCTTATTCCTTTTCCCTAAACATCTGTCACTAGTCACTGTCATATGCAGTAAACTGGCTTGAAACCTCTAGTCTCTCACTAACAATGCAAGACCCTCTTAGTTTCTTATTTTGAAGACAGATGAAACACAAAGCTATGGGGCAACTTTATTATGTCCATGTCAGGTACTGACTATTTCTCCTGTAATTCCATTGCCCCTGTAACTGTTCTCCAAGATGAAGTCAAGAAATCACATAAACATATGCTAATATCCCTCCCCATTCAGGAAATCACTTGAGAACCTATTCTGCACTTAAACACTTTAAAGAGTCCTAATGTAACACAGATGCTTAAATGCCTTGCTGACCTGGGGCCTTAACCACAGTCTTAGTTTTACATCTCAAATAGAATTTGAGCGTGCCTGCTGGTTAAATATGTGCATGCACACAGCTGTGTAGAAGAATATTTCCTCAGTAATGACTGCAACTGGTTTAAATCTAATTTCCCCCGAGCGTCGTTAACTCCTTGTCTACTCTGAAGCATAAGCATTTAACAGGCTGAACATAACGGCTTTGGGAAAAATTTTACTCAATTCCAGAGAGGTTAAAAAAAAAGTTTTCATAGAAACTGAAAGGACCCTATTATGTTTGCTACTGACAGACATTCTACCACTAGTTATTTCTCCAAAGTGTCTGATGAAGTCTACCAAGATTTTGTTATAATGAGATCAGCCATTCAAGCCATAATCATGGCGCTGCATTTCAAAAACACAAATTCATCAGAGCTCTTTACCTCAATTTTCTGCTTTCACAGTATGTAAATATTATACTAAAAAGAGCAAAAGTGAAGATACATCAAAAGGAATAACAAAATTCTGCTCAATTTTGCTAAATATATTAGGACAATTACAGCTGTGGTAGAGAAGCAGCAATAAAATAAAATGAAAAAAAGAAAGTTCACATCCTGCTTTTTTTTGATGAGATATCTCATTGCCCTAATATACAAAACAGAAGGCACTGTGTACTCTTTCTGTTTGCTCTAGGATATCTATTGTGAAATTGTCCTTCTTTTCCTAATGTAGATATAAAAGATAAGATTTATTGAATCTATAATGCAGATATCCGCATTTGAGTCACTCAGAGGAAGATCGCTTTTGCAGACAACAAAAGAAATGGGCATTTTTCGAGTATAACCCATTTAAACTATTTGGGGCCATCTGTGGGGCAGATGAGTCACACCCAGAATTGCCTGTTTTTGTGTAGACTTCCTATAGAATCTGCAAGTACATGTGTCTATACTGATATAGAAACATAAGCCATGAAGCCAGCTTGACATATGTTTCTTAATAATTAGCTTATACTCCGCCTCTGATTTAGAGTGTTCGTATTTTTTCTTTCCAACACAGAATTGCAGCCAAGGCAGAGAGCCATCATCCATATGGGCACAAGGTAAGCTATGCTGCTCAGTATGAGTGCCAGGTATAGACCCCTGGTCCCCTTTCATTTAGCAGTGTTGGCAAAATTTAGATGACTGGCTCAAAAGCCAACATCTGCACTTGATCAGCAGAACAGCCCAGCTGTTCATGTTTTCACAGTTTCAAATGATGTGTCATCTTCAGTTGTCCTGGGAATACTTCAGGAGAGAGGTTATCTAATTTCAGATAATGCTACCCATTAACAATTAGAAAAAAAAATCTATCCCTGTGAACACTCTGTGTTATAAGAAACATATCCAAGCTCCTCTTGCAACCAAACAAGTGCTCCCTTTTGGCAATTTCCTCCTCCTGATTAGGGGAAGTCTGCTCCCCACATGATGGTAGCATGTAGTTAACCTTTGCTCCATCTTTCTAGGGAAGAATATCTTCGAAAATGAGCAAATTCAGAAGAGCACTTGGTTCACCTTTGCAGCTGGCTCATCTACAAGGAAACCTATGCCAAGGCTAGTGTAATATGCTCTTAAAGAGAACGAAAATGGAAACTACAAGCATCTGTTTTCTCTTTTAAAGGCATCACAAGAGATTCTTAGGTATACAGAACGAATGTCTATCAAGTGTTATTGATCATTCCAGAGGTTTTCTGGCATTTTGTGTTCCAATGCTTTTCATAACTTGAGCAGTATTTTGGGAGTGTGCGGAATGACTTTCCTTTTTCTGATCCATCCCAAGAATAAAAGGTAACAAAACTCTTCATCAGATTATTTGTATAGCTACAGAGACACAGAATTCTGATTCAAAAATTGATTTCTGCCTTAATACTGGTATTGGCAATTTACCAACTACCTCAGTTTATTATGCCAGTAAAGGAAACTTTCCAATAGCAAAGTAAAGTAACACATACTGAATTCATGTGACAGGAAACTAACCTTCCTTCCACTTGTCTAAGAGCAGTCCTCATTTTCTCTTCATACTGCCTGTATTTTTCTGTAGTAACATGCACATGAACTACAGAGCCATCTTTCCAGAAGGCGTGTACAAACTTGTCACAGTATTTTGCATGAATTACCTTCCTCTTTGTCTCCTACAGCAAAGAAACACAGGTCACATGTTTCAAACCACATCGTTTTGCTATTTGGAAAACGAACTTCAAAGGCACATACATGTTGCAAAGGAAAAGCAGCAGAAATGGACACAGAATAGGGTGGCCACAGAATTTGTTCTTAGCAAAAGCCTAGATAAATTGTTTGCACATTCTAGCTAGCAAGAATAAAGTGTACTGAATAGCATAATGGTAGAGTTAGAGAAAAACAAACAGAAAAAAAAAATGAAAGGTAGACTAATAAGGCATTGCTGAAGCCAGCCCTGATTCCTCCTTTCAGAGGCCATCATTTTCAAGTACACAGCCCTTTGAAGAAATCTTTTGTATGACCATCTTTGCCCCACCCCACTAAGAAACTGGTTTTAACAAAACCCACATCACAAAAAATCAAACACTTCAACATAAATAGAGCTATTAATCAACACCTCAAGTTGTAAACCAAAAAAATAAACAACAACCCACAGGATGTGAGGGAAAATTAACAATACTGACAGCATCAGTTTGTGAAGATTCATCCTCTGGTTTACTTTTTATGTCAACAACCCCATCTGCATGGCGAAAACTACAATCAGCAAGTGCATCGTGCAGTGTCAGCTTCCGAGCTTTCAAGCCGTACTTCTGCAGCCACTCCTTTGAGGACAAATATTCGTCAGACTTGTGTTCCTGTAGCGAACGATCAGCTTCGGTTGCTAATAAGGCAAATAAAAATAAAAACACCTTCATGTTTAATATGGTTCACTTTTGATAAGCAATTTCCAAAAAACTGGGGTCAATTTTTTCAAATTTATGACATACTTTGTCTCCTAATTCTTGCTTAGTCTCTTGAACAAACCAATAACAGGTGATTACGTCACCAGTATAACTGCCTAAATATGGATTTAGGAGTCTACTTAAGTATTTTTAATTTTCACAGCAGAACTGTACTGCAGAACTTTGAGAAGGATCCCCTAGTAGTTCCTGAACAGAATAATAAATGCTAAGATATTCCCCAAACATAAAACATGGAGCTCTATGTGGCATAAGAAGATATGACAGTCATTAAAAGTGTTTAGTATATTCCCTTGTCAGCTCTAATTATCGGGTTTTTATGATTTCCCCCTCCCAAAACAGTTTCTGACTGCTAACTATAATCTTCTGTGTTATAGACTTGCCTAAGCGTAGTTGTTAAGGAAGGAAGAGAGCATAAGAGACAGACAGATGGAGATTATGAAAAAGAGTATGGCTATTTCTCAAGAGAAGGAGGAAATCCCTTTGTGTTCTCATAGGTGGACAATTTTCTACAGATGTTTTTTAAGAAGCTTTCACACCTTTGGGCTTTGTAGAACTAATTCCTGCTTTGACAGAGAGTCACCTATAGCAGACCTGTGACTCTTGCCAACCTTATCCTCTGAATTTTGTTAAGTTTTAAACTCATATGATATGATCAGTTGTTAAAAGTTGGCAGCTAAATTCTCTGAAGATTCATTGCTCTGCAGCTGTTTTACTTGCACTGACAGCTTTGGAGTGAATGGATACTTCCGACAGATTTTTAATACTCTCTACTTCAGTTGTGTTTTTTTATTATTATCAGGCAATTCTCTGCAACAGATTCCTTTATAACTGGAGCAACCCATCAGAAAATTGAGAGCAGAGAATCTCAATAGGCAATAGGATCAACACGTAAACAGAATGTTTTTGGTCTTATAAAATTTGGTTTAAGTGCTGAATTGTTGAATTACAAAATGCTTGAATAGGTTCCCTCATAAGATGTATAAATTTAAGTAGAATCATTTGAGAAAAGGAAACATCAGAATATATAATTGGAAATTCAGTTGAAGATGTAGGCTAACACTGTATCATCTTGTTGGTTCTTTGAGAGAAAGATAATAATAAAAAAAAAGCAAATGTTATCTTTGGCAGAGATTTTGCTCTGTTTCTGCACAATATTACCTTTTTATAGCCTGCATACTTGTGTGCCATCTTACATTTTCTCTAGATCTGTGCTCTTCCCCTCAATATCAATATTGATACTGAAAGAAACAGGATTTTTTTCTGTTATCTGATATAACTGTTCTCATGCATATCTTTTTCATACCATTCTGTTTTATAAACTCTCTAAGGATCATTTCTTAGAACTGGAACTGCATATCTCTGGATACTGGCAACAGGATAAAGAGCTCTACTCATCACTAGCTCAATAAACCACATCTAAACTGAATGACCCAGCAGCAGTTCGCATAGCAAGGTGAATTTATTTTGTCACACTAGCATTTCAGTGGACTTTTGTGATTTAAGCCTACTCTGGTTAGATGCACCTATGGTGACTACAGTATTGATATCCTGAGCCCGGTTAAACAATCTTATCTGCTCCCTTAACAAACACAGGGATGAGCTGGCACCAGTGCAAGTGCAGGGTCAGAGTCTGTCCCTGTGCAAACGTTTGCTTTCTGGTTACATGTGGCCCTTATGACAGCTGCTCTGACAACTGTCACACATGCACTTAGGGAGAAATGACAGAAATCTGCCATTTTCCTTTTTTACATGTGCTATACATAAAAAGTCAAGTCTCAGTTCAGGTAACTGCATTATCTGGAAAGCCAGCCGAAAAGATATCCCTTCGTTTCTCCCTTGCTACAGAACATTGCAATCTTTAGAACAGATCATACTTTACAGTAGAGCATTTACAAAGAGGAAGGCAAAAACAGGAAGAAAGGCAAAGGTAGACAAACAGAAAAACTGCAGTCATTTGGACCAATGGGCAAAATTCAAACAATGCTGAAGAACTGTCATAATTTAAATGTAAATCATGCTGTAATTTAATTTCTTTTACTTCATCTAGAAAGTGATTACATTTGAAGGCTACACCAAAAGAACACTAAAGCTTCACAGTCAAGCACTCATAAATTAACAAGCCCTGGAATTAAAGCTGCCCTTGCAACTTCTTTGTGGTCCCTTTGCTCACATGCATTACAATAGTTGTTAAATGCATATTGGCTGTCCTGCTAACTCAGAGGATGTTCCCATCAGAACACTAAAGAACTGTATAATATCCCTCCACAGAATAATAAAGCCAAGCTAAGCCTGAGGAGTTATGTTATTGCCAGATGTTTAAATCCAGCCCAGGCAGGCAAAGTTCCCTCCTTCAGACCCTTACCACTACAACCCACTCACACACCTTAACACACTGCTGACAGAGCTCAGGTGGTGTACAAGAGACTTTACAACTCTTTTTCAGAAAAGGGTATCTGCCCCCTGCCCCCACCTAGCCAAAGTGAAAGCAATTGCATTAAAGAAAACACCCTGAAACTACACAACATCACTGATAAGTTGTGCTAACTCTGCCTGAATTTTGTATCAACTTAAGCAAAGAAAAAAAAAACACTAGACTCTATGTATCTTAAACCCAGGACCTAAGGCAGAACATAGGCATTGACACTTACAACTATGATCACGAAAATCCAGCCTCTCAGTTGCAACCTAACCCTGAAGCCATTGAGACCTTACAAACTCCTAAATTTCCAGTATTTAAAACTTGCCAGTGTTATCACCGTGCTCCAGAGCACTGTGCCCAGAGCACCTCCATCTCAGCAAGGCTGAGCAGCCTCTCACCAATCCCTGTTCAACCCTTCCAAGGGTTCAGAAACCACCAGTGCTTCTGTCTCCAGAAAGGCTCAGTCAAATATGCACAGAACAACAAACAGATCATGCTCTGGACAAAATATAGTGGTGGAAACTGTTTACTAAACAGATGTGGTTGTTAACGTCATGTAACTTAACACAACAGGGTCCCTAACACTCACCTAAAATTAGAGTAACTTGGTTTCAATTCTCTGTCCCTCCCTAGGAGAATTCAAACCCAAACTTTTTGCCTTTCAGGGGAATATTCTAGCTACAAGATTAGAAGTTATCCCAAGAAGTCGTGAGGGAGAAAGACTTCATAGCACTCTGCAGAACACAGCAAAAGATTTACTGGCCCAGGCAGAGAGGGAGAGAGCACAAAAAAGGAACTAAACTTCTCAACATCAGCGGTGAACACATTAAACTAGAAGTGGAGTGATGCAGATTACAACCAGTTTCTCAGGCTGTTTCTGTATTTTGTCCAAGGGCTGTTCAATACAGAATATGGAAGTCCAGGATGCCATGAAATCAGTTCTCTGTTAAAAATACACAGTAAACTGGTAGGCTCCAGTATGCTAGGCCTGCTATTTCTCTCTCTCTCTCTGGTAGAAAAAAATCTTGAAATCTAGGTAATTTCCAAACCTAACCACTGGTGTGAATTAATAATGACGTGTTTCAGTCAGAGGTTTTAAAATTCAGCAAGTTTAAAGCAATAGCAAACAGAGGTTTACAACGGAAAATTTTAAACACCCTATGTTTAGATACCAAGTAAAGATTCTGTCTATGTTTAGACATTGCTGCTAAATCCTCCTACTTGGAACTAACAAGAAAATCATCCCTAAGTCGCCATATCATGAAAACTGTTCGCAAAAAAAAAAAAAAAAACAAATTGATCACAAATGCAGTGGTCACTCTCTTGAAAGAAACAATGATACCATTTCGAGAAGCAGGCTGGTCAGATTCTGATAAAATTTTCTGGATTTGCGTCAGTGTACTCCTGGCTTCCTCCAGCTCATTCCAGATCAGGAAGACATCTTCACGGACACCAGCTACTGCAAAAGGAATAAAAGACAGCACTTGGCATTCTGAGAAAAAAATCTTTCACTTTTATAACTTCTCAATTGCCATGAAGTCACAGGGGCTTATCTAGATACTGCCGTATAACTTTGCTTACAGGGACCAGCTGCAATAATAAGTGCTGTTCTTTGAAGGAGGTCTAAAAAGAGCTCAAAGCTGGCACCAAATTCTCTGTGCGGAGAATGAGAGCTGCTTACCCTGGCAGAGGTAGCCTACAGAGCTGGCCACAGTCTGTGCCAATTATGGGAACAAATCGTTTTTAACATTGTCAGACAATAATAAGGAAATTCCACATAGAAATTCATATGTGGTCCCCTGGACTCCATTGCAAAGGAAGGCTCAAATTATTAGTTCCAACTTTGAAATTTTAAGGTGAGAACATTTTCAACTTTTTCCATCTCCCGAAGTACAGATATATCTTTAAATTTTAATATTTTTTTCCTGAAGAGTATGTGAGTTAAGTTTGGTAAGAAGTATTTATGCTATTAATGCTAGAAAAAGAAAAACCTTTCCATCAGGCTGTATTCTAAAATAAATAGAAAAATCCAAAGCTGGAGTTGACACAAGGATTTCTTTATCTTGACAGTTATGTTTGTTTAAAAGATTAAAATATGTATTTACTTAGTAGAGTCCAACTATTAAAATTGAGGTACCATGTGTATTTAAGCGGTCTATAAACTACTAAGAAAAAAAATGGTTAAATTAGGTTAATCACAGATTTTAAGACCACAATATAGGACAGAATGCAATACCGAAAAGAAAAAGGCATGTAAATTGTGATATGTGTGTAAAAATATATACAAAGCGGGCCAAATCGTAAGCTCTCCTAACTGCAAATGCGGACTACAACCTATTGCAAATTACAACTTATTACTGCATTACAGATGAAGATGCTGGGTGCATCTAGTGGTTTAGTGTACATACAGTGGCTCACTATACTAAAGATAACACATGCAAACCTGTCTATTAAAGTAGGCTATCAGTTAGCAAATAAACCAGATCATTTTGTTCTTTGACAAACTTCCTTGAAATGGTAATACGAACATGTTTTGCAAAATCACAACCGAAATTTTACATGTGAAATCCTTTTTATTTCCAAGAAATACTTTGAAATGTGTTGTTGTACACTGCCATCTCCTGGGATCTGCCTGTACTTAAAAAAAAATCCTGCTTCGGCCAGTACAACAACAATCAACAATTCCTCAGTGGCAAAAAGCCTAAGCAAAGCAAACCTTTCCACAGCATAAAACATTAAAGACATTAAACACACATCTGTAGTAACAGTACAGACCTCAGAGCATAACATACATGCACACACATGCATCTATTTCTAATTTTAAAATTGCTGCAAGTGCAATCCAGCAAATCCATCTTCTACTGAAACTGTATGTGCTCTACAAGCTGTCAAATAGCAGGATCCAGGTTTAACTTATGAAGGCATTTAATGTTATGTTAAAAATATCAAAAGTGTTAGTAATTTTTCAACTCCCTTAAAAATAATACTGATGATTTTACAGTGTTTCTTCCATTCCCCTTTAATTAATGCTGTGAACTCTTCAATTTTACAGGAATATTCTGTCTTGAATAACATGTGCACTGAAATAACATTACACAAGAAAGTGCTTGGTTTCTTTTTTCTCCGGTTTGCTTTTATGTCACCACACAGCCAAGTGAAACCGCATACATTTATGAAGCAAAGAGGTTTGCTGACCCATATTTGACAGGAAAACTGCAGGCATGAACCACTGTGGATTGCAAATGCCACGCTGCCTGGAAAGCCTTTCATCCAGGCCACAGTCTGCCCTGGCTTCAACCAGAAGAGCAGGTTGGGAGCAGCACCACCGAAGCAAC